TTTTTAAAAAAATATATATATATATATATATATATATATATATATATAATATTATAGAAAAATTACAAGTACTAGTAGAAAAGTAAGGTTTTGTTGTTTATAAAAAATTATCAAAATAAATACTATTATATTAACTATAATGGATTGATAATATTTTATATAAATGAAATTTAATATGGTGCATCGTAGTTTTAGTACAGACCCTATAATATGTATTAATTACTTAATTGTACTAAATAATAAAATGTATTAACAAAGACAAACTTCTTGTCTAATTATATTAATATAAGACATTTGTTTTGTGTTGACTAATTATTGCAATTATGTATGTTAATAATGGCTGTTTGCTTTTCAGCCACTCATACTTATTTTTTGAATGTCCCCTTGCATAGGGCCGTTAGGTATCGTCAGAAGAAAATCCTTCAAATCTTACAAAGAAAAGGTGCACTTGAATTATTGGCTCCTCAAATTACAATCAAAGGTCGTACTATATTGCACGAAATTGCAAGGATGGATTACTACAAAGCAGCACATTTAGCTGGAGTGGCATTTCAACTCCAAGATGAGTTACGTTGGTATGATGTAAGTAATTAATTTACTCTTTATTATGACTCACTATAAATGCATGTTTACTATTTTTTAGAGAAAAATAGTATCTAAAATAAATAATGTGGATGAAATTTCAAAATTATTTAAATGACATAAAAATTTGTTATACTTGCATTGGACCCTTAAATAATATAGATAAAATTTCTAAATTTTTTATATTAAATAAGAATTTTATGAAAATAGAATATATAGATCACCATGAAAAATTTTGAGTTTATGTTGAACAAAAACAAAATTTAAACCAATTTAATTTAATATCATACAACTAAGAAAAATATAAATAAATTATATTTTTTTTAATGAAATATAACTTAGAAATAGACTATATTTTTTTTAACATTCCAAAAGGTGATATTTTAAAAATAATATTTTTCAAATTTATTTTGAAAATTTGAATCAATTTTACAGCTGATTAACTTACTTTTTGAACGTATTCTTTTTTATATTAATGAGTTAAATATGTTTTTATTCTTTGCAAAATGAGTACGTTTATATTTTGGTTACTGTAAAATTTTTTCTTTGTTTTTCATCTTCTAAAATTTAGAACTATTGTTTTTAGTCTCATTATTATGTAATTGTTTTAACTACTTATTTGTTTATTAAAAGGTTAAGTGATCATGTTGCCCACCAACTATTAGTAATATCATGTTATCTATAACAACTATAAGTTTATTTATATGTCCTTAAAACAAATATTATTTATCTACATTAAAATCATTGTCATGAACTAAAATAGTAATTTTATATTTTAGAAAAATGAAAACTAATGAAAAATATTTTATAGTGTTCAAAATCAAAATTTACTCATTTTACAAGGTCTAAAAATATTTTAGAAGGACTAAAAATAAATTTTTCAAGCTATAGAAGAATGAAAAACCAAGAAAAAATATACAGAAACCAAAATCAAAATTTGTTCATTTTATATTTAATCATAAATTTATTATTAAAGTATCTAAATGCTTTTTAATCACTATCATTAGGTGAAATATTAATGCTTAACAATTGGTCTTTTTATTTAATTGAATTTAATCATTTAAGATCTTATAGTGTTAATTAGACCTTGAATATTGAAGATTTGGCCCCTTTTTGCCACTTTCTTCCAGAACTGTGAAGTTTTTTAATAGCCAAACAAGTGCAACAACTATCACTCCAAAATTTTATTAAGCTTCTATTATGTATTTAAGGTGTTTTAGTGTGCATGCTCAAATTAATTCTCAAAATCCCCAAAATTTTTAGATTATGCAGGGAAACAAAACTCCATGTCAAGGCCATAAAAAAACTCACTACAATACAAATGGTATTTAGCAACATTTGAAAAATGTTACTTAATTATGTATAAATGTTGCTAATTTATTTTAGTAACATATTATCAAATGTTGTATATAGTCCATATTGTTAAAGGCTTTTAATAACATTTTTGCATAATTAGGTAACATTTTTTAAATGTTATCAAAGTAGTATTTTTGTAATATTTTAATAATGTTGCCAATATTTTGTTAACTTTATAAAATAATAATTAATTTTAATTTAAATATTACTATTAATTATTATATTTTTATGTCTCCTAAACTTCTAGGAATTCCTTAACTATATTAGTATATATACTCTTTATGAGTCATTAATTTATTCGATGTGAGACTTTAATTATGAGTTACAATTAGATATAAGAGAAATATACTTTTTTTACTCAAATGTGGAACTTTGATTTTAGAAATAATTATAGTAACATTTTTCAAAAAAATGTTGCAAAATAACTTATGTAAATTTTTTTTACTTAATATGAGACTTTGATTTTGAAAACAATTAGAAAAAATAATATTAAAATAAAAAATGTTACTCTATCTATAATGACATTTTTCAAAAAAAAGTGTTACAAAATAACATATTTATATAATATATAGTAACATTTTAACAAATGTAAACAAGAAAATATTGCTAAAGGATTAAAATCTAGTAGTGACTCCCAAATTAATTTTCTAAAAAGTGTTTAGATAGCACTTAAAATTAAATTAAAATATGCTCTAATTATGTAAATTTTAAAATAATTTTATTTAGCATTTGTGTAGCATGAAGTCTAAATCCAGTTCAATATTTACCTTTTCTTTTATTTGAAGAAAAATACATACAAACACAATTGTGTCAATCCATACATATGCATAAAATGTTTTCTTTGGAACAATAATGATAATGTGTCTCAAACTTCCAATTTCATATGGAAAATAACAACGTATTTAACAACAAGCACAGTCCTAATTAATGACATAAAATAAATTGATTTACTACGAAAGTAATGATTCGAAAAAAATTGTTGCATGTCCAGAAAGTGAGAAGAATAATTCCCGAACACTACAACATGCATTGTGACATAGATGGGCACACACCAGAAGATATGTTAGAAAATGAGCATGATGGAATGCTTAAAGAGGCACAACAATGGTTAAAAGAAACAGCTCAATCATGCTCAACTGTTGCTATTCTAGTTGCTACAGTTGTATTTGCTGCAGCCTACACCATTCCTGGGGGAACTGAAAATGGTACTCCCGTATTTCTTCATTCTCATGTTTTTCTCTTTTTTACCATCATGGATGTTGTGGCTCTTGCTACCTCACTAGCTTCAGTGGTGGTGTTTCTTTCCATCCTCACTTCCCCATGCGAGTTGTGGGATTTTCACAAGTCTCTACCACGAAAACTAAACTTGGGATTTGCTTTGCTGTTCTTATCATTGTTGACAACAATGTTGGCATTTAGCGCGACCATGTTGCTAACCATTCGTTTGGAATGGAAGAATTGGACCTCAACATTGATATATAGTGCTGCTTTCTTTCCTGTCACCATATTTGCAATGATTCAATTTCCTGTTTATGTGATGACTCAAAACATTGTCAAGACACTTTGGAAGCAAATCCAGAGGGTACTTCCAAAAAGAGTGATTAAATGTTTCATGAATTGCGTTTGATGCTCCTAGTATTGAGTGTGGAAGAATGCATTGAAGAATGTGAGGTTTTTTTTCCTGAGTGTGGAAGAATGGATCAAAGAATGTGAAAGGCTTTTTTTTTTTTTATTGAGTGTGGAAGAATGCATCAAAGAATTTGAAAAGCTTTTTTTTTTTCAATTTCAGTTTGGACATTGATGACGGGTTTGGATTATGTAATTTCAATTAAATAGTTAATAATGTATGAACATTTTGGAGTTATGAAAATATGCAAGTGATGAATACATAAGTTTACTGATTAACTAGCAAGCTTGGTTATGGGTGGCAAAGCTTATTTAGGACGGTGAATTTATGTGTTATGATATGAATGATAAATTTTTCAACAATTCTACTAAATGATAGGTTTATTTGTTAATTGAGTGAATTTGAATACTACATAATGAGTAAATTCATGTATGATTTAGTGTTAATTATTGATTAAATTTATCTATCAATAAAAAAATTGTTGAATTCTATCCAAAAATAAAATAATGTGTTCTACTTTTATGAATTTATTCAAAATCATCTACTTTAAAACATAAAAAGGACATAAGAAAGGAGATAATTGTATATAAATAATTTTTGTAATTCCTTTTTTTTTATAGTTAGTATCGTCTTAACATAATAGAAGATGATAAAAATTGTTTTTATAAACAATATTGATTTTTAATATCTAATTAAAAAAATTTTAACGTGTGAAAAACAAAGATTGAAGGATATTCGAAATAGTGTTAAACAAAGAAAATTTGAGTGAAAAGAGGTGACAACTACATGAGAGATTTTTTACTTGTTGTCTTACTTAGAAACTACAATTAATTCTTAACATGTGTATCACTACTATAAAATATACAATTTATAATCATTATGATGGCAAAGTTACATGAAGAAGATGGATGATCTTCCCTTGGCTTTGTAACACCCTCTACCCCGACATAATACACAATAATTTTAAGATAAAATTTGAATAAAAACTTTCTCAATTAGCAAATAGGTAAAGGATTCACATTCACATACATAATCATAGTTCACTTGCGAAAATTAAAAAAGAAATAAAGTTAAAGGTTTTCCAAACAAGAAAGAAACTAAAGTCCTAAACTAGTCCTAACTATGCCCTGATGTCACATATCCTATCAGAGCACTCTCAATTGAAGCCTAAGCATCATCACCAACATCCTCATGCTAATGATCATCTGCAACACAATAAAAATACACATATCGTAAATAGAGGAGTGAGAAACATCTCACTCAGTTTTAGGTGTAAAAATAACAGTTAGACAACACACACACAACAAATATACAAGTCACAAGCACCAGTCACATATAGATAACACACATACACAAATGGTATCACATGCACACTCATTTATCATGCAACGATGTCGTGGACTCGACTCATAAATGCATGCATGGCACCAGTCACATGTCTCATAATCACATATCATGTGGTATGCTGCCAAAGCAACATACCTAGAGTAGTCTAGGAGTACATGCCAGCTCAATCGTGCACTCTTGCACACAAATGGGTAGAACTAGGCCTTTCAAACCGCACTATCCCCTAAAACTCCTCCAAGATGTTTCACACTTGGAGGGCCTTCCCTAACGATGTACTCCATATCGTACCTCATGACATAAATGCATATGATGCATGTCACACATTCACAAACTCATGGACTCATCATTTCACTTGTCATAAATACTCATATATTATGTCTCATTGTCACAAATCATCATATTTCATATCTCATATTCATTTTTCATATTGTCTCATCATATTCACATAATCTCCACAGAGCACTCTAATTCATATCAAAACATATCCAAACTCAAAATTAAACATATATTCATGCTTAGTAATCATCAAGGAACACAATAGAAAACTCAGAAGGCAAAATAGAAAATATTCAAAATTTGCTTATTTCTCAGTTTCCTATAGGAACCCATAGAGCACTCTAATTCATATCAAAACATATCTATTCTTGAAATTGAACAAATATTCACACTCAAAATCACACAAAGAACGCAATAGACCAATCAGAAAGTGAAATAAAAAACTTTCATAAAGTGTTTATTCCTATCAGGCAAGGGATTGAGGGCCAATCCTGCATTACAAGGAAAATGATGAATTGCGACGGACAAATTGCAACGGTTATCCTGAAACCGTCGTCGCTTTGATATTGCGACCCTTCATACGACGGTTTCTCCCAACTGTCGCAAAATTTTTCAACATTGCGATGGTTTCTTCCAAAATCATCGCAAAATTTTTCAACATTGCGACGGCTTCTCCCAAAATCGTCGCAAAATTTTCCAAAATTGCGATGGTTTCTCCCAACCGTCGCAAAATTTTTCAACATTGCGACAGCTTCTCTAAAAAGCGTCGCAAAATTTTCAAACATTGCGACAGTTGGGAGAAACCGTCGCAAATTACAAGACAAAAATTGAAATAAAAATTCACACAAAGTCATAGTGAATTTGTAATCTTTCAACTGATAGATATATTTCATAAATATTAAATCTAAATATCTTTTTGATCGAAAAGCATTTGTTCAAAAGTTGATAAATATATACTAATATATGAAGAAAAAAATACTTATTCTAGTAATTGTTTTTAGTTTTTACAATTTATGGACAATTATACACCTAATTAGTAAGAAAATAAATAAATAAATAAATATAATAACCACTATTAATCAATTTTAAATAAATGGTCAAACTACTATATTATTTTATTTTATTTTAACTCAGCAATAAGAATGTAATGTCATAATGACTTTACTTTTGTATTGATCATTCAACCAAACTTAGCAATAAAAATGTAATGTCAAAAGGAATTAAAGTGTTTTATCTGATTTTATACTTTTAAAACAACTATAACAATCAAAATGTTGAGAAGAAATTAAAAATATTAACTCTTCACAGTTAAGTAGTAATCAAATGGAAGAATCCAAAATTGAAAAGCACACCAAAATGTACATGGAAAGGCAATAAATGGGAAGTAGTTTGACATACCTTTCGAGGGAGCATTTTCTATTAACGGTACACATTAACTAAATCTCCAACACATATCTATCTCTAACACTCAAACTAAGAAGAAAAAAAAGATTGAAATAAAAGAAATGTTGATGACTAAAACACAATTAAATATATATGACTATTAATTGTATATGTTATATATATATATGAAAGAACAACTCACTTACTTAATAAAAGAATGTTGATTTATCTTTGTGAGTTAAATTTGAATCTGCAAAAAAACTAAAACTAAACAATAAATATTTAAAAAAATTTAAAAGTAAAGAAAATAATATCATAAAGAATAGAAATTTCAATGGATTAATTTTGAATCTTCTTTTTGTTTTTTTTTATCTTTTTACATTTTTGACACAAAAAAAAAATAGAACACAAATATTTGTTTTGGCCTCCTGAGGGTTGCTACTTGCTTCCATTCAAGTAAAACCTATTATATGCCAACCATCAAAGAAAATAAAGATAAATTAAAAAAAGGAAATCAAAGGAGAAAAGGGTGGTTAGTGCTTTTACATAAAGTGTGAAATTCATAGAGTAAGAAAAAGAAAATAAAGATAAATTAAAAAAAAGGAAATCAAAGGAGAAAACGGTGGTTAGTGCTTTTACATAAAGTGTGAAATTTATAGAGTAAGAAATGAACGTATGAATTTTTTACTTGTATTCCTTGTATTGTTATTTTTTATTAGAGAAGGTTGAGTTGGGGTAAAGTGATTTAAAAAAGTGGAACCAAAATTGAAAACAGTAACGTGGTAAAAGTGGTGCATTTGTGCTCTTAATTGTTGGTTTCACGTTTTGTTTCACCTCCTGACAAATATCCTTTCGGTTACCTTGAGAGATCAATATAAGCATAAAAACTAACCAACTACCATTGATAAAAAAACCTCCTGACATATATAGGAATAGTTCATAAATATAACAATTGGAAATCACAATTAAGTAAGAAAAACCACCATTAATAAAAAAAAACCACTATGATAAAGACAGTATAAGTATGAGATTGTATAGTTGAGAATGACTTAAATGAATTAATTTGTACTACTTATACTGACAACATGTATTTGCTTTTCTGTAGCTTACACTACAAGAAAATTGAGAATTAGAGAGGGAAAGATCCTTCGCAAATCCCTCGCTAAACAAAATGGCGAGGGATTTGCGAAGAACTATTCCCTCGCTAAATTCAAGTCGTTACTTAGCGACGGCTGCATATCCCCCACAATTCCCTCGCTACATTCCTTCGCTTTTCCCTCGCAACCAGCTTCGCTAGTCCGTCGCAAATTTGTGCCGCTAATTCATCGCTATCGCCTCGCAAATGTAGAACCTAAATTCCCTCGCTAATTGCATTTAATATTTCCTCGCTAAAACGTCGCAAAACCTTCGCAAATATGTCATTCGCTAATCCCTCGCTAATCCCTCGCAAATATGTCCTTCGCTAATCCCTCGCAAATATGTCCTTCGCAAATCCCTCGCTAAACCCTCGGAAATATGTCTTTCGCAAATCCCTCGCTAAACCCTCGCAAATATGTCCTTCGCAAATCTCTCGCTAATCCCACGCAAATCCATCAAAGCATATGGATTGAGTTCCCTCGCGAATACCACGCTAATCCCTCGCTAATATCTTGCGAAACCTTCCTAATTTATTTATATATATACATTATTCTCTCATGAATCCCTCGACATGATTTAAAATAAAAGTTACATGTAACAATATCTCTTACAAAACCAAATTGTTAAATGTCTTACAAAATTCAACTTGTACATACTATCTTAAAGAAACCCAAACTAATTAATGTCTTACAAAAAAAAAGTCAAATAACGAGTCATCCTAAATAGTAATCAACCTAAGCTAGTAAAATCATCATCTCGTCCTTGATCCTCCCTATGTTGGTTGGTTGATAGTGTTGTTGATGGTTGAACTGCATGAATTATTTGCTTCATCATCTCTGGTAATTGTGTTTGCAAAAAAGAGGCCAATGCATTATTTATAACTGTAGTGACCTGTTCTTCTGTCATAGGCGTAAGATTTGTAGAAGAACCTGTAACCTCTGGAGATGAAGCTTGGGTAGAGCTACTAGTTCCAAGATCCAAGCTATGTCCCATGCCATGCACTCTTTTCTTCTTGTTTTTACTTGCAGCTTTTTACCAAAGATCAGAATCAATTACAGGACGAGATTAAGTGTCTTCTCCATATTTTTGTGTCATTGATTCTTCATATGTTTCCTACAAATAATAAATAAATAAAAATAAGTGAAATAGCAAGAGGTTAAAAAAGTACATAATCAATCTTAAAATATAAAATAACATACAATAAATTTCTTTGCCCTAGTTGAGACAAATTCACCATCATTTTTTTTGTGAACTTTGTTATACACTTCACGATAAGAAACAGGACGATTCTGTTGTGCCTCCTGTAAAAAGATTACAGTACAAATTGTAAGTAATGAAATTTACCAAAGAAACTCATTAATTTTCAAAACCTTCAACTTTCACAACTTGTTACATTACTGGCACTACCAACCTGTCCTAAGAGCTACAGAATTGTTATAGAAGCATATAAAAAGTTTCCAAATTTCATAGATACATTCTTATGTAAGAATCAACATGTAAAGGCAAAAAAAGATCAGAATATTGTGAACAGACACACAAGCATTGTTGTATGCTAGAATATTCGTTGCATGGCAGGAGGCCTGTTAATGGAATTAAAAAAAGAGGAAAAGGAAAATATATAGATAGAACTCACATTTATTATTTACCAAGTGGAACACAGAGTAAGAAACATTATGCATTAATATAATTATCTTTTGTAATGGGATAAAAGAGTTATGCAAGTGAGTTTATATTTACAAAGAAAAATTAAAAGTGGCAGTGAGTAAATTTCTAAATAAAAAGACCACTAGTTTAGCTCCGGGCCCGTTTAAAGGGTGTCTTTAATGATAATGTTTAATTAGTCGACAATATAAATCTCTCGAGGAGATCTAGAACAACTGATTCCACGAGAGTGGATTAGTAGTTATGAAAACTACAGGAATGACCAGAAACCTATAGTTGCTACAAAATATTATTATCAAAGATTGAAAGATGGTTCTGTCAAAACCATCTTTAAGAAAAAGGATTCCACCGAGGCCTCTACAAGTAATGCTATTTTCAACACTATGATGATTTCCCTTGGAGAAAAAGAAACCATTATTCCCATCTATGCTTTTAAAACAGATGGAAGTTCCATTTATTCTGATAAAATAAATGGACACTACCCACTATTGTCCAAATCCCCAAGCAAATCTCTCGAGGAGATCTAGAACAACTGATTCCACGAGAGTGGATTAGTAGTTATGAAAACTACAGGAATGACCAGAAACCTATAGTTGCTACAAAATATTATTATCAAAGATTGAAAGATGGTTCTGTCAAAACCATCTTTAAGAAAAAGGATTCCACCGAGGCCTCTACAAGTAATGCTATTTTCAACACTATGATGATTTCCCTTGGAGAAAAAGAAACCATTATTCCCATCTATGCTTTTAAAACAGATGGAAGTTCCATTTATTCTGATAAAATAAATGGACACTTTATGTGGGATACAGCACCAGAGATGTGCGCCCCTGACTGTGACTGTTGGATGGACTAGAATAATGATTCAGACAACGACTCAGATTCTGATGATTCTGATTCTAACATAAAAGATAAATGTAGACCTCCACCACAGTATAGAAAGCCTCCTCCTAGAAGACAACCATGGGTGGCTTTTACAACACCTCCAAGGCCCTTTCCAATTTACGATCAAGTTCTAGAAATTCTCAGAAAGAAGAAAAGAAAATCTTCTCCTCCACCTCCTGAAGAACCCTCATTGATCACTTGGCCTCCTCCTGAAAGGTGTAATCCAAGTCAAAATCATTACAATACAATCCCTCCTGTACAAAGAACAAAATTTTGCATGATGACTTCTCAAGAGGAATTTCCACCACTGGAAAGAAGAACTACTCCAACAACCAGAGTAGATGTTAAGTCCTTTGTGACAAAGACGGAAGTTACCACTGATGGAAGGATGAAAGCTCTTTCTCAAGCAGAGGAAGTTCTAAACTAGAAGACAGAAAATGCTTTAAATCAAAAGATAGAAAAGATGCATATATCTATGGATCAAGACATCAAAATTCTGTCTACCAAGTTGCATACCTACCATCAAGAGCTAAAGACAAAGATTGGACAACTAAAGAAAGAAATTTCAAAATTCAAGGGAATCCATAAACTTAGTATGGATATTATCAACAAACAACGAAGCCTAGATAAAGCCAAAGAACAATATGAAGAGCTTGTGCGGCTTGTTGAAGAAAAGAAACATCCTCCTATCCTAGAGGATGATCCATACTATATTAGACCAACAAGAATGTTCCCAAGAACTAGTTCAGGTCCAACTATGTCTACTCCCCTGTTTCCACCAAAGAAGGCACCAATTATCACTAATCCTTTTGATTGGAGTAGAGCAGAAAAAAGAAAGGAAAAATCTCCTGAAAAGACACCTCCACCAGAACCATCATCAAAGAAACCTGAAGTAGAAACATCTTCATCCAACAATTCCCCAGAATGCACAGAAGAATTTCCTACTCAGTCATTAATGATAAACACAGAAGGAGATGATACAGAAAAAATTCCATATATAGAAGAAGAATCTGAGAAAGAATTCTCTATAATGGAAGACACTTCTTCAGAAAATTCTTTTGGGCTAACAGAGACTACGGCTAAAGCAGACTTAAATTCTGAAGAGGATACCAGCCATATTCTTGGAACATTGATGGCAACCAAAACAGAAAGAGGTGGTTTGCATAGCAAAGAGATCAATACTCCTGCCCCAACAAGTTCTCCACTATTTTCTCTTGATCATATACCACCATCTCAATGGAGAAAGAAGTTCTTAGATTTCAAGGCATGGTTAGATGCAAAGATGGTTCATCCTGGTGCAGATCAATATAAAGTTATTGAAGAATTTTGTGCCAATATGACAGGTACCTTGAAAGAATGGTACATGAGTTTGGGACAAGTAAATCAAGATAATTTCCATAGAACCTCCATTGATGAATTTCTTGGAGGACTTCAATATCATTTCCTTGGAGAATCAACTCTCCTTGATCAAATTGCCCAAAGAGAATATTTTGAAATCAGATGTTGCTCTTTGGAAAAAGAAGATCTTGATCGACATTATCAAAGAATGTCCCACAGATTTTACCAGCTCAATGGTATGAATGATGCCAGTCTGAAAAATACATATGTCAGTTCTTTTCCAGAGGAATTACAAGAAGAGATGTGGAGAATATTGCAACAATCAAATAAAGATGTTCTCCAAATGACTATGGGAGAAATTTATTAGACCTGCATTGCTGCTTTGGACAAAATCTGCAATCAGCAGAGAATGTTCAAAAAGATGATTGACGAACAACCCAAGTACAAGCAAGTATGAAAGAAGGGATATTTGCAAATCAAGTGCAAAGACTCCACTTGCCACTACAAAAATAAATCCAGCAAGAAGAAGAAGTTTAAACCTTTCAAGAAAAAGGGGAGGAAGAATTTCAAATTCTTCAAAAGAAAACCTTTCAGAGGAAAAGGTTCTAACAAGAGATATTTTATGTGTGGACAAAGAAGACACTTTTCAAAAAATTGTCCCAACAAGAAAAAAGTCACAAAACTGATAAGCACACTCAAATTGGAAGATGAAGATGTAGAATCTCTGTTTGATGAACAAGAAAGTCCTGATGAATCAACAGTTTTTGGCATCACACATTCAGAAGGAGATACTGATGGCTCCTCAGAACAATCTGACTACACTAATGATGAGTACAAGAGAGTGGATTAGTAGTTATGAAAACTACAGGAATGACCAGAAACCTATAGTTGCTACAAAATATTATTATCAAAGATTGAAAGATGGTTCTGTCAAAACCATCTTTAAGAAAAAGGATTCCACCGAGGCCTCTACAAGTAATGCTATTTTCAACACTATGATGATTTCCCTTGGAGAAAAAGAAACCATTATTCCCATCTATGCTTTTAAAACAGATGGAAGTTCCATTTATTCTGATAAAATAAATGGACACTTTATGTGGCACTCGCGTTTAACGTGAAACGACAGATGCGTGAAAACCCTAAGAAGAAGGGAGGGAAGAGTCTTGGGCATACTATCTCGACGAGACGCCTGCGACGGCTAAACGCTTCCCTTGGAAGTCTTTTTTGGCTTTAAACAACCACCAATCGTATAATACGACCTTCGGAAACGAAAGAACAGCATTAGAATTGAAAATTGGAAAAAAAGGGGAAAAGGAAGGAAGCGGTGAGAAATGAGAATGAAGGAAGCGTAAGTAACCGTTCGTTGGAAAGAGCATGTTGCGTCGTTGTTAGAAGGAGTTGCAATCGGAGTGGAGTCTGCCATTGAAGGCGTGCTATCTATTTCATTACATTCCATTACATTCTAATTTCTAATGGGTAAATGTATTTTTAGTTTTCGGATTTATTTATTTATTTTAGGTTTGATTTCACCATTTTCTGTTTCTGTTTAAAAAATAAATAAATAAATAAGAGGTGGTTGTTGTGCTAAATTTCAGATTAAAAGATTATATATCGTTGCTCAATACTTTCTAATTAGAGCACTATTTTATTATCTTATATTATTATAATAATAACGAACGGCCATATCGAATAACTTTGAGCTTATAAATAGTACCTTACTATACGAGTTTAGTTAACGCAACTGAATAACAACTTTTTATTTATAAGATCTGTATTTTATTTCGAATCATTACAAAATTAAGTTGAATTGATTTCAATATATTATATTTTCAAAATAAAATTAATTTATACTTTTAAGAAAGCATTTCATTTATTAAATAAATTTCAATACAAATAAGTATACTCTCAAATAGTAATAAATAAGTTTTCCACAACACGTGTGTAATTGTTATGTGAGAATTATGTTATTACATCCTATCAAACTTCGAATTCGAATTCTATTCAATCTTTTGTTTATCCGGAGCTTTGTTTAAGTTCTAATATGGGTGGTTTTATGATTTTTTTTTACATTGTTATGTATTAATTTGAATTTAAAAGAATGTTTTTTAATTAGTAATATAATTTTTATTTTAACTTTATTTTTTAGTAAAAACTTGTACGCACCACTTTTTCTATCTCAACAAGTTTTTTTTTCTTTAAATATTTGAGTACATGTTAATATAATATAAGAATACAAAAAATGTAGTATTTTCAATATGAAACTAAGAGATATGAATATTTGATCATGAGAAGTTATTATGAATAGTAAATCCTTAAATACTGATGTGGCGAGAGAGAAGAAAGTAAAGTTATATATTTATTGAAAAGAAAACACACACATATATATATATATATAGAGAGAGAGAGTTATGGAGAGAAGGTAAATTAAATTAAATTTATTAAAAAAGATAGAGTAAAAAAAAACATGTTGAGCAAAAACGTTTTTGAAAAAATCGTGATACGTGTTTAGAAAAAAAAAATTCCTTTATATATAATATGATAATTAACAAATATCTTGATAAAATTGATTAATATATATATAATTTATGCTTACTTGAAGTTGGCATCACCGCCGCCCACGGTAGGGCTACTGTATATTGGCCCGGAGGAGGTGGACACTGTGGCA